CYYCACACGTGCTCTACCACTGAGCCACAACCCCAGGCCCTATATTGAGTGTATTCTTTAGCTAAAGCCTTGAATAGAAGAGTCTTATTGAAATATACCAGTGATTAATAGTAGATGTTGGGTTAAATTTTTTTTAAAAAACCAGCTTTTATTTGGAATGGTACAGAGAAGATATGAGTATTGGCCCTGTGCAAGGATGACACACAAATTTGGGAAGTGTTCCATATTTTTCTGGCACTAAAAAATAATAAAAATAAAAAAAAACAGTTTCTGTTACTTTCAGAATCATAATCTTTATATTTTTTAAGCAAGTTGAAAGAAAAATAGAAAGTTCCTAAAGAACAAACTTGGTGAGGTTTAAAATTTTTGTTTTTCTGTCATAAGAATGTATGCATATGCTTTCATACTTATATATATAATATGAAATCTCCTTTTAAAATTATTATAAAATTAATACAGTCTGGTGAAAAGTTCAGTGTATATATAGTAGATATAACATGGAAAGTAAAAGTCCTTGCCTCCCCTCCCCATCAACTCTTTAACTCTCTCATTAAGACAACTAATATTAAAATTTTTCCTTCAATAAATTTTCTAGGCCTATTTGTGTGTGAGACTGTGTGTGTGTATAYACATTCACTTTTGGGGGAGTACTGGGTGTATGCCTAATGGCATTTTACCATTAAGCTACATCCCCAGCCCTTTTAATTTTTTTCAGTTTTGAGGCAGGATCTTGTGAAGTTGCTGAGACTGGCTTTAAACTTGCAGTTTATCTGCTTTAGCCTCCTGAATCTCTAGGATTACAGACATGTGCCACTGCTTCCAGTTTCTACCTTCACTTTAAACATAAATTAGAAAAGATAGCTGTATACTTCATTGAAATTTCCTCTTTTCTTTTCTTTCTTTCTTTTTTTTTTTTTTTTGAAGAGGAAAAGTTAAGCTGACACTCAAGGTTTCAGCAGTCTCAATCCATAGATGGCCAGCTCTGTAGCTCTGGGCCCAAGACGAGGCAGAGCACCATGGTGGAAGGGTGTGGCAGAGGAACTTTTTTTTTTTCTTGAGGCATGTACCAGAAATTGAATACATCTCTAAAATTATAGGACAAACCTTATAGAGATTTTTATTTTTCTCTGACAATTTACCACCAGGCCCTGAGTTCAATCCCTAGCACCACAAACAACAACAATAACAACAAAACACCACAGGCCAGCATAGAAATCCCATCCTGATTTTTCCCAGTAGTAAGTCATCTGGGTCATTTCCTTTAGAGTTACTTAAAATCTATAATGTAGAGCAGAATTTCTCAACAGCAACATATTGACATTTTGGGCCAGATAATTCTTTGTTTTGAGGGGGTTTCCTATGCTTTTGTACCATTTCTGGCCTCTATCCACTAGATGCCAGTAAAATCCACCTAATTGTGATAGCCCAAAATTCTTTAAACATTGCCATGTCTCCTGAGAGCAAAATCACCCTTGTTGAGAACCATTAGTTTAGAGGCCATTTTTGGCAGGGATGGCAATTTTGTCCTGTATATTCTATATTCAAACTTTAGGTAAACAAGATGAGTCACTGTTTTTAATAGCATCTCAGAGCTTATAATCTGAACAAGGGAGAAATAGAAAGAAGCTACTGAAAAGTTTCCAGTGAAATTAGCATGTACTGCTGTAAATCTTCTATGGCAAATTTATCATTTTGGGGGCTGGGGTTGTAGCTCAATGGTGGAGCGCTTTCCTAGCATGTGTGAAGCACTGGGCTCAATCCTCAGTACCATATAAAAATAAATAAATAAAATAAAAACATTGTGTCCATCTATAACTAAAAAAATTTTTTTTAAATTACCATTTTGGGTAATTATGACTTAAGATATATTATTTTCAAGTTCAGTTATTTTCCATGAAAATGAACTTAAAAAAAACTTTTATGAAGATTTTAAGTTTGTTAAAGTGGAAAGGGTTTATTCCACAAAGTATCATCACTAGAAATACATTATCAGGAAATAGAATTTTGAAATTTTAGTAGGCAAATTTTGAAGACATTGAAAATACTTACTGAATAAAAAATTACATGTTGTTACTGTAACAATTTGTTATATAATGCAAGAATATCAGCTTTGCACAAGCTTCATTCTGTAAAGCCTTAAGGCTTTAGTATAAACTGATGAGTTGATGATTCCGGTTATATGAATTAGGAATAATGGGTCAATGCGGAGTTGAGTAGTATGGGTGGAGGAAAACCTTAGTGTGAAATTTGGAGTGTCAGGTTTTTTGTTTTATTTTTATTGAGTACATTTTGAATAGGTGGTTACAGTCATACAGCTCATAAACAAAAGTAATATAAGGGCAGATAAGTGAAGTTTTGGTTCCACCCCTACTCCCACCTATCCTGCACTTTATACTCCAGTCATATATTCTTTTAGAATTTTTTAATGAAAATACAGTTTTATTTTGTGATTCTGGGGACTGAGCCCAAGTCCTCAGATGTGCTAGGCAAGGAAGGTATCCACTGCTGTGCTACACTCCCAGCCCCACAAGTATATATTTTTATTTTTCCTGTTGTCACATAAAAGGTAACACATTATTCATGTGAGATTTTAAAAAAATTATATTTGTAGATGGACAGCATGCTTTTGTTTCATTTTTATATTGTGCTAAGTATCAAACCCAGTGCCTCATATGTGATAGGCAAGTCCTCTGCCACTGAGCTGCAGCTTCAGCCCCCATGTGAGATTTTTTTTTTAAATGACAAATTTGAGAGCGATTTAAACTAAAAAAAAAGGTTGGGGGTGTGAGAGCCCTAGATTCTATCCCTAACACTCACTTCAAAAAAGAAAAAAAGTTTTTACGAGATAAATCATATTACACATCCAGCACAGAGATGAGTTTAAGCAATTCCTTTTAAAATATATATTTTTTAGTTGTCAATGGATCTTTACTTATGTTGTGCTGAGAATCAGAACCCAGTGCTTCACACATGCTAGGTAAGTGCCCTACCACTGAGCAACCCCAACCCTAAGCACATTTTCTCTCTCTTTTTTTTTGTCGTGCTGGGGATTGAACCCAGGACCTTATACATGTAAGGCAAGCATTTTACCAAATGAACTATATCCCAGCTCGAGCATATTCTCTTTTGAGCCTGTCTGGTAGTAGTGGTAGTAGAGTGATGATGGACTAGATGACCTCTGCAAATCAATCTGGTATTTCTGATTCATTGATAGATAAGATAATATTTCTTTAAAGAAAAGGCAATTTTTAAAAGTATTGAAGTGTTGACCTGGAGTTGGCAAATGAAGAGAAAATAAATGCCCCGCCTACCTTTTTTTTTTTAACCATGGATTGAAACAAGGGGCGCTTAACCACTGAGCCACATCCCCAGTTCTTTTATGTTTTGTTTTGAGACAGGGTCTTGCCAAGTTGCTTACAACCTCACTAAGTTGCTGAGGCTGGCTTTGAACTCCCAATTCTTCTGCCTCAGCTGACAAACTGCTGGGATTACAGGTGTGTGCCACCATGCCTAGCTATTTACCTTCTCTTAGAACCAGAGTTGTAAGAAATATAATTGAACTGATTTAGTATGTCTTTCTTTTTGGATCTTGTTGATCATATTTCCCTCTCCTTTTGCTTATCTGTAGAGTCATGGAATCTTGGTGATAATCTTCTCATCTCATTTTAGGTAACTGCTAGAATTTATTGAGTGCTTATTATTAATAGTTTTGTACTAGATACTTTGTTATTTTGCTTTTTTTTTCTAATTATATATCTTAGTTGTAGGTGGACACAATACCTTTATTTTATTTATTTATTTGTGGTGCTGAGGATTGAACCCAGGGCCTTACACATGCTAGGTGAGCACTCTACCACTGAGCCACAACCCCAGCCCATTTTTGCTTGTTTTAACACTCCTTTGAGGTATCATCTACATAGATGAATAAAGGTAGGCTCAGAGAAATGAAATAATGAATCAAAAATTAACAAAGTATTGGGGGCTGGGTTGTGGCTCAGTGAACAGCAATCATTGGGCTGATTGATTTGTCTAGGATCATTACACAGCTTAAGGTGTAGCAGGACTAGAAAAGAGAGGTAATCTGATTCCCATTCTATTTATCTTATCTGCTAGATTGTCTTGCCATTTCTTCTGATGCATTGTACCAATGAATTTAATTGCTCAAGCAATGGCTATCTTAAACTAGCATTATAATCCATAGTTGGCTTTGTTGGAAAAGTTTTTTAGTTTTGTTTTTTGGTGATACTGGGGTTTGAACCCAGGGTCACTCTGACACTATGCTACAGATCTTTTTATTTTGTTTTTTTATTTTGAGACAGGGTCTTGCTAAGTTGTTAAGGCTGTCCTCAAACTTGCAATCCTCCTGCCTCAGCCTTCGGTGCAGCTGGGATTACAGGTGTGTGCCTCCACGTCAAGTTTGAAAAGTTTTACATAGATCAGTTTATTAGGGAGGTGTGCCTTTGAGTACCATTGAGTATTAGAAGGAAGTAATTTTGGAATGAAATTACTTGAAAAGTGCGGCTTTCATTATTAATTTTAAAAGGATTAAGAAATAATTAAAACCATTGATAATATAAAGACATGCCCAGCTTTGCATCTTAGAAACATTGGCTTTACAATATTGTTATATTTTAATTATTTTGTAAAAATTAAAATATGTGTGCTATTCTGTTACTAATTAACAACAGCTCTTGGTTCCTATAAATGAAGATCCATTGCCTTAAGGCAACTGATTGACTGGATTTTATCACTGCCAAGTTTACCTAAACCAGAAAGAATTGAAACATTGTATATAAATTTCTTTTTATTTGCTGAACTGAATTTGGCAACTGTTTGTCAAAGAGTACATTTTGCTCTTGTCCCTGCTATGCACATGGTCTGTGCTCACAGTTACCCCCTTACTGAATAGATGCTGTTTTCAATAGTAGAAAGGGTGCTTTTTAAAATGTAGACATCCCACTATATTCTAATGATGTGATTCACTTTCATTAGTACACAATTGATGATCCCTTAGGACCAAAGATTTGAACAATAGAGTAGTTTATGAAGTTGCCAAGGTGCATTTGATGTGTTTAATAGTTTGTAATGAGAACAGTTGAGAATAAAGTTTGTATTTTTAAATTATGATAAAATAACCATAATATAAAAATTTACCATTTTATCTTAAAAAAATGTGTTTAGTTATAGATGGACACAATACCTTTATTTTTATGTTGTGCTGATTGGACCCA